CCCTAATGAAAATATTGATAAAATCCAAATATTTCCTGTAATATCTTGGATTGCAAGAATAATTTGTACGATGTGGCAACACCGCAATACATATATTCGATTTCTTTATAAGTTTTTTCGAAAGATCGTGATCACAGGAAACTAGAAGTTATTTGTAATTCGTCTTCGTTAAAAAAATTGATATTAGCAAAGGATAATTATCAATTTCACCCAGTTTAAAACGTATTTTTCTCGAAACCAGCATTCTTCTGTTTACGGTTTGTGTTCCATTACTGCTAATAGGTAGCAACGCCGCAATTTTTTTCCTAATATCGATTATTTCAATGCCCACGACAAATCCAATCTGACCTATCGACAATTGATTGATCGTTTTTGTTCACGACTTTCTGAAAAACTTGTGAAAACCGGATTAAATATCAGATTGCGACGTTGCTACTTAGCAGTAATGGTGGAATACAAAACCTAACATGAAAAAATGCTATTATTTCTAGAAAAATACATTTTGTCTAGTTGTTTACCAAGGTTTTTACTGGAGTGTTGTATTTTTTCAAGGCTAACCTCAGGACAAAGTAGCAAAATCACCCATTTGAAAAAGGAAAATTGTTGACAATTACGCAAATATATTCCAATGGTTTTGCTGCAAGTCGCCTTGCAAATTCTGCAGAGATAAACGCCATGTGTCTTCTTGTTATACATTCCTCCGACAAGATTTTCAGTCCCAAAGTTCATCGGCCGCTCGAGAAGCTGCCTTAAAGAGAAATGCTTCGACCCCTTCTTTTTCATGGCCACGAATTATGCAGAGGAAAGGATCCGACCTCTGATGACTGTATGGGCTTCAGCAAAAAAAGTTCAATTATGGAGACACTGCAAACTCAAAAGTCCGCGGCCTCCCAGTTGTCGAGGAATGTATAACCGTGGAACTGCTTATACATTCTCTTGGACCATGAAGAGAAAAGGATCCGAACCCTGATGTATTTACAGGCTCCATCCAGTACCATTCTGTCACGTAGACACTCAAAAGTCCGCGGCCTCCTAGTGGTGGAGGAATGTATAACCGTGGAACTGCTTATACATTCTCTTGGACCATGCAGAGAAAGGGATCCGAACCCTGATGTATTTACAGGCTTCATCCAGTACCATTCTGCCACGTAGACACTCCAACCTCAAAAGTCCACGGCTTCCCTGTTGTCGGGGGAAGTACAACCGTGGAACGGACGATTTAGAATGCACACTCCTATGGAAGTGCATAATTTTTCGGGTTTTTACGTCGAGTTGATACAGTTCTTCTTGAGTCCACTTCACTACTCGAAATAAGTAGAGTAAGATTGGAACGACAGTCCCGATGGGCAGATCTGTCGGGAGTTTTTGCTGATACTTGCCACGAAGAGAGAGTTCATCACTGCGGTTACCTCCTGTGAGTGGCGTTGTTCCACCCCGAGGTAAGTATACGTCTCTTCGACATTCAAATGGTGTAGGATGCTTCCATGTACGAACTCCACATCCTTTCTGTAATCTCCGCATCGTCCTCTTTGTAGATATACTTTTCTACCACCCTGGGGAACCTATAGAGGTCCTTTTCTCCACAGGCACGAAGTTCATCCACTCACTCTGTTTAGATTCTAGTCTGACCATATGTTATGGTGAAGCCAGTCCGCCAAAGTGAAACCACCAGTCAATTATTATTCATATCATCTAAAGCAGAGGTTCCCAACTTTTTTGTACCTGCGTACCACTGACTTTTTGAGGAATATCGGCGTACCATCAGACCTAAATATTTGAATAAACGTATAATATTTACTCTTTCAAAAGTGTTCAAAGACTTTTTTAATTAAATTTCAGAGGAAACTTCATATTTAATTGTTAAATATTTGTTTATTTATAACATGCTTATAATAAAGGAGGAATAAAAAGATTGAAATGGTATTAATTTACAGTTTTATTTATTACCCTTCTATCATCTCTTCATTATTTTACAGTTTTATTTATTACCCATAGGTCTAAAAACATACAAATAAAAAATTATTAAAAAGTCAGCAAAAATTAATCATCATACAAAATATACTTTTATAGTCTTCAGTGCGAAACTTGTTGTAAAATTAATTGGCGCTCCAGTGACGCATTTGCTTTTTCAGCTGCAGGAAAACCCGGAAAAACCTGCAGCACCACATCATCTGAAGATCTTGATCTGCCAATGTCCTCTCTTCTGTGATTGAAATATCAACATTAGGAGTAATGGATCTTATCTTCACTCTTAAGTTCTCTTCAACACTTATTCTGCTTCTATATTTATTTTGTATGTACAAGAGTTCAGAAAATCCACTCTCACACAAGTAACTCGTAACAATTCACCAAGAGGACTAAAACGGAGGGTCTCGGACCTCTAAAACTGCGAGGTGAAGAAATACAAGTGTCGGGGGAGGTTAAATATCTGGGAATAATGCTAGATTCCAAACTGACCTGGAACCAACACTTCGACAGGATAAAGAGGAAAGCGGAGGTAGCACTGATGCTCGCCATGGAAAAACATGGGGGCCAAAACCAGACATGGTATATTGGCTATACACGATGATGGTTAAACCCATGATAACATACGCATCTCTGGTCTGGTGGCAAAGGGTGAAGCAGGTGAGCGCCATCAACAAACTAGGTAAGGTGCAAAGACTTGCATGTTTGGGAATGACGGGAGCAATGAGAACTACCCCAACAGCTGCATTGGAGACACTCCTGAATCTACCTCCTTTACACTTTGTGATAATGGGGGAGGCCAGGATGGGTCAATTCAGACTGGAAAACTCACCGAACTACAAAAGATCGTACCGAACAGAAATTTCGGAACACATGGAGGAACACATATTGAATATGTGTACGGACCACATGGCACCGAAGTACACCTTTAACACAAACTTCACGGCTAAAATCATAAGCCGTGAAGAGTGGAAGATCATTAGTCATCCCGAAAACATGTTTGGAGAAAACACCTGGTATACAGATGGATCGAAGACCAAACATGGAACGGGAGCTGGAATATACCGAGCGGATAGAAATCTAAACTACAGCTATTCGCTAGGACTATACACATCCGTCTTTCAGGCGGAAGTGTATGCTATCTTACAGTGTGCAAGCTTATTGAATTGAGACCTCAAAGAAATGAGCTGATCAATATTTTACAGACAGCAAGAACGCACTAGGGGCTCTGACAAACCCGAAGGTGACATCAAAACTGGTCTGGAATGCCATGAAGAACTGAATGAACTTTCAAACTGGAACAAATTAACTTTGTACTGGGTGCCAGGGCATTCAGGAATCACAGGTAATGATAAAGTTGATGAATGCGCTAGACGCGGATCATCAACTTCATATATAGGTCCTGAACCAGCTCTGGGGGTACCAAAATCATTGGTAAGGGCATGGACCAATAAGAAGCACACAGAGTACTGGACAAAAGTACCTGGCGACAAACATAGTAGAACCTTCATTAGGGAACCGTCCGAGAAAAGAACCGAAGAAATACTTCAATATAGTAGGGATCGGCTCAGAATAATTACAGGGTTACTAACCGGTCATTGTCCGCTTAGAGGACACCTGAATAAAATGGGGCTGTACAACGGAGACCTCAGCCGCAGATTATGTATGCAACGAAGGGATAGAAACAGCTCTACACATCTTATGCGAATGTGAGGCACTGAATCACAGGAGGCAGGCAATATATGGACGTACAAATTTACACCCAGAAGAATATGACGAACATCCAACAGGGAACCTGTACAAACTAGTACAGGGAACGAGACTAATGGAATCGGTGTCATGAGAAGATGGGAGGATGAACGCAATAAGCCCAAGAGGCTGCAGTGTTTTCTGTAGACTTGGACTAAATGGACAAGTCAGACAGCTCCCAAGGTACAAAAGAAAAGAAAAAAAACTTGTAACAAATAGCATCAAAAATAGCAGAGCTTGCCGGAAAAGCAAAAGGTACTCGGTTTTACATCCGATCCAGAAATTAGTTAAAGATTTCTCTTTTATCATAAGCCGTGAAGAGTGAAAAGAGCAAAGGGTACTCGGTTTTACATCCGATCCAGAAATTAGTTAAAGATTTCTCTTTCAAACAATCTTTCATGGATCTTCTGTAAGGTCGATAAAACTTTCTTTCAGTTCCACTTAATTCGGTGAGGTTCCCGAAAAAGGATTTCTGGTCCAGTCCACTTTTGAATAGTCTTCAGATTTTCATTATTGTTATTATTATATAAAAAGATTGTGATTTTCGATAAATAAACATATCATCATTATTATCAAATATCTAAAACAACGACAGTAAGAAACTACTACTATATAGAAACAATATCAATATGACTACGTATTTATTCTGAAGGTTGCGCTCTGATTTTAAAGTAATTATAACGCATAAATAAACGTAATTATGAAAAGTGTTTGATATAGAAGTCGACGGTTCAATTTTAAAATTACTGTTAAATATGTGTTTTTATTTATGTATTCAATGCCAAGTAGGTACTAGGTGTTAGTTGGTATCAGAACTGTATTCTACAGAAAAAAAATCAGAAAATCATAAGGGTGTCCTAATAATCATAAGCAAATCCTGGCTACTTTAGGTAACATTACTACATCCAAAAGAAGCACAGTTCCCAAACAACAGAGCTGCAACACTCTTCCTGACTGACGCACGTTTCACCAACCAAGTTGGCGTTTTCAGAACATGAAGTAGACAGTCTAGTTTAGTATGGGAACAGTGCTTGAATTGGATTTTTTCTAACCTAGAGAGTACAGTTCCAGGTTTCATTGCATCATAATTTTCATGAGTATCTCTTACTTTTTGGAAATAAAGTACATCCTGAGGTACTCGCCGATAATATTGCTTTCTAGTTTCAAAATCGGTTAAGTAGTTGTTGAGTTGATCCACTACAAACAAACACCTAAAAACAAATGGTTTTTGTCTTTATAACAATACTTTGGACTTCTCATTAACCGTATTCTCTCTTCTTTTCCAGATATCCGACATAGTCATCGGCCAAGAACCCAACGTTTCGGCAAAGGACTTCCTCCTCAGATGGGCCAAGCGTACCACCAACAAATATCCCGGAGTGACCATACAAGACTTTTCAAAATCATGGCGAGACGGTTTGGCATTCTCGTCGATCATACACAGAAACAGGCCGGATTTGGTAGATTTCAGGCAGGCCAGGNAAAAAGTAAGACCTACAAAGTTTCCTATTTTGAAATAATTGCCAAAATCTAGAATTGTCGAATTTCGTTTGTTGGCTCTACCGCCTCCATTTTGAATAATAAAAAAAACGGCAGAGGAACCTTCAGTACTGTTTCATATTTGTTATAATCTGATATGACGCAATTTGCAATGCGACATTTCGTTCATCAGATTTCATCATCAACTTTCTACTAATTAGAAAAGATTCATGGTTTTCCCCTCACAAATTGAAACGAATCGAATGATTATTTACGTACTTGACAGTGAATTTGACAAATATACATATGCTGGTAATTTATGGGTCATTTCAAACAAATCAGTTTATGTTAGTACCCTCATAAATGTTTTCTGCAACATTCTCATTTGCTAGAAAATATCAGAAACAAACATATGTTCTCCAAAAATTGGCTTTTGAACAGTTCTTCCATATTTATACAAAACCCCTGGAAGGCATTAGCGTTCACTTTTACTTGCAAATATTCAAAATATGTATGGAGTTGATATACAAGGTGTAACTGAATAAGTGTAAAACATTTAAGGAGGTGATTCCTCATAGAAGAAAGGATAGGATCCTTCTTATAAAAAAAAGTCATTGAAGCATCCCTTGTTAAGATACAGCCCCTTAAAGGGGGTACATAAAATTTGTGAAAATTTTTTTCACAAGCACTGAAAAAGTTACAATATTGAAATTAACCTGACGTTTTGTACTGCCAAAAAGACACTTAGCCAGTAATTTATTTGGTTTACCTCATGGTTGTGAGGGGTGGAAAACGCAACCCCTAAAATTTAATTCCAATGTAAATTTTTGTCTTATTATTTATTTACCATTAAAACATTGATTTCCGATAGCCTGTTTCATTCTAAACAAAAAATGTCTCTTGGGCTTTTTGCCCAAGTCTGAAAACTCTAAAAAAGTGATTCTTCTTTCTGTGACACATTGCGATCGCGGGCCGTAGTGATACGGCCCGGGGACCGGTGCAGACCGCGGGTCGTATCTTTTGACACGACTGCTTTAAACTATTATTTCTCTAACTTCCTTTGAGAAACAGCAAAATTACACAACTTCAGCTTTATTTGATATATGATTACTCAATACTATAACGCACTTGAAAACAAGCATAATAACAACACTATACAACACAGTATTACAGTACCAAAACGGAATGACAAAATATCACACAGTGTTACTGAGCTGGAATGGAATACAGCTCAGAAATTTTCCACAAAATACAACAATCTAAGAAAATAATGAATAGGAAACTGTGAAATGTAGTTAGAAATAAAATTGTATGATAGGAGCAATACAAATAATGAAATTCCAGCAGTTAGAAATGATTTCAATTGGTACTGCTGAATGCCATACTGGATTCAAACTTGGTCTCAAATTGTTTTGTATTTCAATTTTCAAACTATTTGAAATTGGATATAACAAATATTTTTGAATTCTTAGGTTGCTTCTTTTGAAATTCAATGATTTCGTGATTTCAATGTTTGGTGATTTTTCAGTCCCAACATTAATGTGGAAGTGTCCAATCTCCATATAGTCTTTTCAACTAAAATAACTTTTTTATTCCTTTTCTGCCAGTCTTCTTCGGTAATATTAGATACTTTTGCTTTAACTAGCTCTATTACCTACTTATCAAATTTTGGAAAATTATTTTTACGCCTGATGCTTTGTTTTAATTTTCCCCAAATCAATTTGATGGGATTGAAAACACAAAAATAGGGTTATACTCGTTTTCACTGTAATGCACTTTATGTGTTTCATTTGGAGGTAACGTAAATGTCAACTTCGACTGATTTTTCTAGATATTTGTGTTCAGCTAAAGTGATAATACTTTTTGTAATAGTTTCAAGCTATAATTCCTAATCGTCACCTGCAACCTACAACTCTTGTTTCAGACGTGGACACCCATAACCCCGACGAGAAATCCCTCATCACCTACATCTCCTCCCTGCATGAAGTATTCCCAGAACCACCTCCCATCCACCCTCTCTTCGACTCCGAAGCCCAACAACGCGTGCAGGAATACCGCGAAGTCGCCTCCTCTCTCCACATGTGGATAAGGGAGAAGTACTCCCTAATGATGGACAGATCCTTTCCGGGCACTCTGATAGAGATGAAGAAGATCGCGGCCGAGTCTTCGAGGTTCTGGACGGACGAGGTGCCCCCCAGGAAGCGGGACAAGAACCACTGCGCGCAGCTGTTCAAGGGCCTAGAGAAGTATTTCAAGAGCATAGGGGAGGTCGAGGTGGAACCAGAGTTACACATGGACAACATCGAGAGGAGGTGGCAGAAACTGATTGAGGCGTATCAAGAGAGAGACAGGCACATCATGGAGGAGATCAAGAGGTTGGAGAAGCTGCAGAGGCTTGCCGAGAAGGTTCATAGGTGAGTGCTCAAATTCGACTGTGTCAAACAAAATACAATTCTCAGTTTTGACATAAAAGTGAAATATTCAGCATTAAAAGTAGATCTTATATTTTTTAAGTATTACCCAATGAGCAGCGTGAGCTAGGTGATCATTAGATCCGAGAATCATGTACCCATGTGTAGCGAACCTGCATTTGTCAGGCTAAGATTTCTACTGTCATAAGCAACCCTATATGATGTTGAGGTAAGAGAGTAGAAGAAACATAATTCCACCTAAGACTTCTATAATCAGAACAATGATTCCAACAGAGTGGACTGGGTAGAGCCTGTGATTGATGTTCACTTCATTTGTAGTTGACAATCTTACGATGAATATTGTCTTACTTTGATGGTCGAAAAGGACTACATCAGGCTTGCGGTTGCTGTATTTCTTGATATTGAAGGAGCATTTGACAATGCACTACCTAAATCTATAGGATTTTCTCTGGCTAGAAAGGGTATAGAATCGACCATAACTGACTGGATCTATGCCATGCTAGTAAACAGAACTGCAACTACGACTCTTCAAGGCGAGGCTATCAGGTTCAGGGTCACCAGGGGCTGCCCTCAAGGTGGGGTACTATCTTTCCTTCTGTGGTCGCTTCTGGTGGATAGTCTGCTTGATGCCCTCGACAGAAAAAAAGTTGATCTGCAAGCTTATGCAGATTACCTTGTCATCCTGGCAAGGTTCACGTCAGGAAGAATAGCTTGTAATATCCTCCAAAGTGCGTTAGACGTTGTTCACAGTTGGTGCCTGAGGCAGCAGATGTCTGTGAATCCCAGCAAAACTGTGTTAATCCCCTTCACCAAGAGAAGGAAATTGGACGATCTAACGCCACTTTCCGTCAATGGTGTGGTCATTCCATTTGGAACGGAGGTGAAATATCTTGGCATTGTCCCTGATTAAAGACTCACCTGGAACGCTCACTTGGAAAAAGTTTTACACAAAGCCAGACTGTCTCTATGAACATGTCGAAGGATTTGTGGTAAAACTTGGGGTTTAGGTCCCAAACAAATCCATTGGATTTTTGTGATGATTGTCAGATCAATGATCACTTATGGTGCAATTACTTGGTGGCCGAAGGCTTTACAGAAAACGGCCCAAGCGAAGCTCTCTGGCTTACAGAGACAGGCTTGTCTGGCTATCAGTGGTGCCATCAGTACCACACCGTCAGCGGCCATGGAGATCCTTCTAGATCTACCTCCTCTCCACATTTTTTTGGAAAGGAAGGCTAGATGGACTGCATACAGACTTGTGCACATTGCCAATTGCACAAAGCAATTCAATGCAGTGTAAAGCAGACTGTTGGTTGACATTGGAAGTCACAGCATTCTGGAAATGACCTCTGACTTCATGCCTGCAACTGTCAACCATCTGGCAACCTTGAGGTGTCTCACGGTAGCCTCCGCGAAGGTTTTGAAAGGTGCAGCGATATTACTGTCGTTGCGCGGCTTCTTCAACCTTCTTGGGGTTTCCTCCATGCAGGGGCAGCCGGTTCCTTGCCTTTATTCAAGGCGGAGTTCTTGGCACCCGCCGCAGGAAGTGCCCTTGCTGTTGGAGGTGATCTGCTATGTCCAGCCTCATTCCAAGCAGTAGATTTGGGTGGATATTTCTGTTCATCCCCAGCCACCGCCTTAGATTGAGGTGAGCACCTCTGTCCAGCCTCGGGATTGGTTTTTGTTGTTTCTGTTTTCGTGGTTTCATTCATGTGTGTTCCCACGAGTAGCAAGGGAAGAGTTGGTCACCTCTGGCAGAGCTCCGCATTACCAGAGGTAGGCTGATTATAACGAGGTTTCACCCAGTTCCCCAAGGGGATTGTTCGTGACCGCATATCACCCTGCGGCCATTCAGCTGTCGGCACGATTCCTCACACCTTAGCTTGGGTAGGCTGGTCCACGGTGGCATGTTTTGCAAAAGCTACTTATTTTTGCCACTGACCAGGAGTCCGGCGACACCGTCCGTAAGACCACATTGGCTTCCCAGACAGGGTCTCCAGTCTCCTGGCCGCCACCTAGGGACGCCCCGATAGGTAGCCCAACCCAAGGGCTACATCAGGCTTATCAGCTTGTATGAGCCTGAGGATGGGAAATGAATAGTTCCAATGAATTCGGCACTTCACTTCTCTCACAACAGATTAATATTATGTAATTGGTGCTGGGGAAATTCGTACGTTCGTTTCCCTTTTTCTCGGATATTGATTTGTCTCAGATATCAGCAATACTGCTTATTTTCATAGAATAAACAGCGTCTTATGTTCATGTTCATTCACAAATTCATTCTTTGTGTCTTGGGAATTATTGACTCTCGATAGTGTTATTTTTTTCAAATACCTAATGAAATTCCAGTATCGCCAACTCAACCTATAATTTTTTTCCAGAGAAATCAAACAGACCGACTCGAACCTAGATACGATCGAACGAGCAATAGAAAACGAATCGAGACGCATCGAGCGGATCCATCCTTTGGAAGCTAAAAAGATCGCCGACCAAATCGACCAAGACCTCGCTCTGACAGAGCAAAGCATACAGTCCCTTTCCAGTGACGTGAGCACCCTGAGGCACGGAAGGTACCCCCAGGCCGGAGATCTCGACAAGAGGGTGAACAAGCTGCATGAGCGGTGGGTGCATCTGCGGCATGCTTTGCATAATAAGATCGTAGGACCGCTGGCTAATATGAGCTTCCCTGTGGAAGAAAGAACTGTTACGAAACATACTCGCACCGTTCAAGAAACCAGGAATGTCGATACCAACCCTCACTTTAGGTCGTTGCAAGAGCACATCGAATGGTGTAAGAATAAGTTGGTAAGTGGATAAGATGAATTACTGTTGATTCAATTATTTGATGATTCCATTACATCTCAACTTTTTGCTAATTGCATAGATTCGGAAAGTAAATTATAACAGAAACTATCATCATACAGGACGGTTTCGAATACCGTATTCTATCGTTGTTTTCAAAGCAAAGCAAAGCAAAGATATTTAAAACATAGTTTGGAACTGTATCCCAGCGTTTCGCCAGTGCGTTTGGCTGGCTTCTTCAGAGGTCTATTCATCCTGGTGGTTCACCGATGACTGTCAGTCATCCCAATTGGCTTTTTTGGGAGTTTGTTGGACTGGTTCTCAAGTTATCTTTGTGATAGATCACAGTTTGTGAAAATTAAAGGATTTATTCGAAAAAGCAATGGCCACAAGACTAACATCTTTCTTCTCAAACTTTTATATGTTTTCTAGTCACCAACACGCCTTTTTGAAAAAGAAATCAATTGCGACAGCTCTTGTTAATTTTAGTAATGAAATTCTGGAAGCAATAGAAAGAGGGGATCCATCCTGTGGGATTTTCATTGACTTATCTAAAGCCTTTGTCTTTTAACTTTTTTACAAGATTTACATATACTCTGTAGAAATAAATGAATATCTATCTATCTATCTCTCACGATATATGTTACCTCAGGAGTACCTCAAGGGAGTCACTTGGGACCTTTTCTCTTCAATATCTTCATAAATGATGGACCTTAAATTTTTTTCTGATTGGTGTAAGATGAATTATATGGATGTCAATGTGGCAAAATGTAAAAGTATTTCCTTTTCAAAGTCAATAAACCTTTATACAGCTGGTTATAGTATTGCAAGGAAATAAGTTGGAACGTATACAATATATACGAGATCTGGATGTTATGATGGATGACAAGATGGACTTTCATTTACAGTATGAACACATATCTAACAAAGCGATGAAAATGTTAGAATTCATATGCAGATCAACTTTAGATTTTACCAACATTTTTTCTATTAAAATACTATACTTTACATTGGTTAGATCAGTGATTGTGAGTATTGCACTTGTATCTGGTCTCCAACTTACTTTAACCATAGTTATGATATTGAGAAAGTTCAGAAAAAATTTCTTAGATATTTTGCCTACAAAATGAACATGCCAGCTAGAAGTCATTCGTACTTTGAAATTCGCCCTACTATTGGATTGCTCAAACTCAGTACAAGACATGCAGTACATGCAGACATAATATTCCTACATAAATTGTAGAACAACAAAATTAATTGCCTAACTCTTCTTTGTCAAGTTAATCTGCATGTAATTTTCTCTATGTAGGTTGATTTATTAGATATACCTATAGAAACTATAATAGTTAACTTTCTAAAGTTTAAAATATCAACATTAGGAGTAATGAAACTTATCTTCACTCTTAAGTTCTCTTCAACACTTATTCTGCTTCTATATTTATTTTTTATGTACAAAAGTTCAGAAAAATCCACTCTCACACAATTAACTCGTAACAATTCACCAAGAGGTCTCGGACCTCTAAAACTTCGAGGTGAAGAAATACAAGTGTCAGAAGAGGTTAAATATATGGGAGTAATCCTACATTCCAAACTGACCTGGAACCAACACTTGGACGGGATAAAGAGGAAAGCAGAGGTAGGTTAGGTTAGGTTAGACGCACCTATGGAAAAACATGGGGGCTAAAACCGGACATGGTATATTGGCTATACACGATGGTGGTTAAACCCATGATAACATACGCAACTCTGGTCTGGTAGCCAAAGATGAAGCAGGCGACCGCCATCAACAAACTAGGCAAGGTGCAAAAACTTGCATGTTTGTAAATGATGCATTGAAGACACTCCTGAATCTACCTCCTTTACAGTTTGTGATAATGGGGTAGTCCAGGATGGGCCAATTCAGACTGGAAAACTCACCGAACTACGAAAGATCGGACCGAACAGAAATTTCGGAACAAGTGGAGGAGCATATATTGAATATGTGAACGGATCACATGACACCGAAGTACACCTTTAAGACAAACTTAACGGCTAAAATCATAAGCCGTGAAGAGTGAAAAGAGCAAAGGGTACTCGGTTTTACATCCGATCCAGAAATTAGTTAAAGACTTCTCTTTCAAACAATCTTTCATGGAGCTATCTTCTGTAAGGTCGATAAAACTTTCTTTCAGTTCCACTTAATTCGGTGAGGTTCCCGAAAAAGGATTTCTGATCCAGTCCACTTTTGAATAGTCTTCAGATTTTCATTATTGTTATTATTATTTGCTAATTTATCTTGATTCTTGAATAACTTAACAATAATCCAAATCCAAACAAATATAGACAAACAATACATCCATTGTGGTGGAATAAAACTATGCAATATCCACCTGAAATATAAAATAAATTTGAAAAACTATTTGTTGTCATTATTTTTTTTTCTAAATAATTATTTGTGAAAGTTCTGAACTCATTATTATTGTTTAGGTTATTACTGTTTGTTTGGTTCATTTCCCTCCTATAAACAAATTTAATGCTCCTTGTGAAAGAAATAGTTGATCAATTAAATTATTGATTAAGGTTTATTGATCTCAAGACAAAAGGAATGTCAGTTAATGCTGATATGAATCTGGGTTATACTTAATATAATACTGCATATACTTAATAGTTCATCCAAAATTTTTCCCAAAAATTCAACTTCATTATACTTAATTGCTTTCTTCCTTTCATTGAAAATTCACACACTTTTGTTGTATGAAGATATAAAAGTCAAAGGTTTTTAAATTTTTCCAATAGACCTACCTACCTACCTACATCAGGCTTCTGGATCTGTAGAGTAGGGAGCACTTAGGCCACATGTAACTCATTGTACATCCTCCCGAGGAGTTGTCCTCCTAGGTCATCGTCCATCCTGTCCTTTCCAGGAAGGTGAACAGGTCACTAGGAGACATCTCCTTTATAGTGGCAGGTGTAGGCCAAGACACACCGAACACACACTCTCTTTGGTAACCTTGAGGTGTCTCACGGTAGCCTCCGCGAATGTTTTGGAAGGTGAAGCGATATTACTGTCGTTGTGCGGCTTCTTCAACCTTCTTGGGGTTCCCTCCATGAAGGTTCACAAGTGAAGGAGCTTTCCTGCAGGAGCAGCCGGTTGCTTGCCTTTATTCAAGGCGGAGCTCTTGGCGCCTGCCGCAGGAAGTGCCCTTGCTGTTGAAGGTGATCTGCTATGTCCAGCCTCATTCCAAGCGGTAGATTGGGGTGACATTTCTGTTCATCCCCAGCCACCGTCTTAGATTGAGGTGAGCACTTCTGTCCAGCCTCGTGATTGGTTTTTGTTTTTGTTGTTTCTGTTGTTGTGTTGTTTCATTCATGTGTGTTTCCACGAGTAGTAAGGGAAGAGTTGGTCACCTCTGGTAGAGCCCCGCATTACCAGAGGTAGGCTGATTACAATGAGGTTTCTCCCAGTTCCCTAAGGGAATCGTTTGTGACCGCATATCACCCTGCGACCATCCAGCTGTCGGCACGATTCCTTACACCTCAGCTTGGGTAGGCTGGCATGTTTTGCAAAGGCTTTTGAGGGGTTTCAGTTCCCCTCACCCTACTTATTTCTGCCGTCCGTAAGACCACATTGGCTTCCTAGACAGGGCTTCCAGTCCCCTGGCCGTTCCCCTATCCACCATCTGGGGACGCGCCCGATAGGTAGTCCAACCCACGGGCTACATCAGGCTTATCAGCTTGTATTAGCTGGATAGAGAATGGATAGTTCCAATGAATTCGGCACTTCACATTTCTCACAACGGATTGCTATTATGTAATTGCTGCCGGGTAAATTCATTCGTTCGTTTCCCCTTTTCTCGGCTATTGATTTGTCTCAGGTATCAGCAATACTGATTTTCATCGAATAAACAGCGTCTTATGTTCATGTTCATTCACAAATTCATTCTTTGTTTCTTGGGAATTATTGACTCTTGACAGTGCTATTTTTTTCAAATACCTAATTAAATTCCAGTATCGCCAACTCAACCTATAATTTTGTTTCCAGAGAAATCAAACAGACCGACTCGAACCTAGATACGATCGAACGAGCAATAGAAAACGAATCGAGACGCATCGAACGGATCCATCCTTTGGAAGCTAAAAAGATCGCCGACCAAATTGACCAAGACCTCGCTCTGACAGAGCAAAGCATACAGTCCCTTTCCAGTGACGTGAGCACCCTGAGGCACGGAAGGTACCCCCAGGCCGGAGATCTCGACAAGAGGGTGAACAAGCTGCATGAGCGGTGGGTGCATCTGCGGCATGCTTTGCATAATAAGATCGTTGGACCGCTGGCTAATATGAGCTTCCCTGTGGAAGAAAGAACTGTTACGAAACATACTCGCACCGTTCAAGAAACCAGGAATGTCGATACCAACCCTCACTTTAGGTCGTTGCAAGAGCACATCGAATGGTGTAAGAATAAGTTGGTAAGTGGATAAGATGAATTACTGTTGATTCAATTATTTGATGATTCCATTACATCTCAACTTTTTGCTAATTGCATAGATTCGGAAAGTAAATTATAACAGAAACTATCATCATACAGGACGGTTTCGAATACCGTATTCTATCGTTGTTTTCAAAGCAAAGCAAAGCAAAGATATTTAAAACATAGTTTGGAACTGTATCCCAGCGTTTCGCCAGTGCGTTTGGCTGGCTTCTTCAGAGGTCTATTCATCCTGGTGGTTCACCGATGACTGTCAGTCATCCCAATTGGCTTTTTTGGGAGTTTGTTGGACTGGTTCTCAAGTTATCTTTGTGATAGATCACAGTTTGTGAAAATTAAAGGATTTATTCGAAAAAGCAATGGCCACAAGACTAACATCTTTCTTCTCAAACTTTTATATGTTTTCTAGTCACCAACACGCCTTTTTGAAAAAGAAATCAATTGCGACAGCTCTTGTTAATTTTAGTAATGAAATTCTGGAAGCAATAGAAAGAGGGGATCCATCCTGTGGGATTTTCATTGACTTATCTAAAGCCTTTGATTTTATAGATCATGATCTTCTACTAGGAAAACTTTACAAATATGGAATGCGAGGGAACTCCTATGACTGGTTCAAGTGGTATCTAAAAAACAGAAAGCAAATCGTAGAACTGAACTTGAAAGATACAGCAGCACGATCAGAGGNTTCAATAAAAAAATCGCTAATAAAAAATCCCTATATTTGACTAAGAAAAAATATCGTAGTATGCCCTGAAACTTTAATAAACATTTCAAATTTTGTCCCAAGGTAGACCTTTTAGTACTTGACATTTCAAAAAAAAAATTATTAAAATCGGTTTACAACTTCAAATTTTAGGGGGGTGTTTCCATTAAAAATGGGTCACACTGTATGTAACACTTTCATCCCAAAATTGTATTTTATGGCCTGTAATTGGGTCTAATGCCTGTTTGGACAGTAAACGGTTTTTTTATGGTCTTGCTACTTGCGACATGTTCGATTTTTGTCATGTTAATTATGGATAACCGATGAATGCTAGATTTGATTTGTATGTATGTTGGCGGGCTACAATGCTCACAAAAGATAATTGTCAGCTATCCAAGATTTTTTATTCATTTGTTGATACACAAATATCCCCATGGGTCANGTATGGCAACATCAATTGAGAATTCATTTGGGGTACCCCAAGGAAGCGTTCTGGGACCTCTTTTGTTTCTTATGAATATATATTCGGGTCTACTGTACTATAAATAATTATAAAATTTTACTGATTTTTCTAATCAGTTGCTTGAAAAAATTATTTGTTCAACATCTTTCTTTTGAAGTCAAAAATACTGGAATCATTTCCTTCACACACAAAAAAAAAATTGATAGGAAATGCTGATAGAGAAATCGTAGAAAATGCATTTTCCTACCAACGGAGGTTCTTCAAAAACATGTTACCAGAACTTCAAAAGTATTTTTCAGTCCATTCAGTTTCATTTCATTTTCAATTCATTTTACCTATAGAATTGAATGCTGAAATTGAATATGAAATTCATCGGTTTGTGTTTTCATTGATTATATTTTTAATTCATCAATGCAGCTTTATTATGGAATTGGAGACGAGGTAAAAAATATATCATACATTTTTTTCCAACTTTACGTCATTCCAGCACCGTTTATGTATTTCCTGTATCTACCACTTTTTCAGTAACGAAGCCTACACTTCTGTTTTCTGTTATCTTCCCTTCAGTATCTGTGCATTAACATATTCTTGTTTCACTATAAACAGGATTGCTACACAATACAGTATATGAATTGCCTCTTCAGCATCAATGTGAATAACATTATAAAATTAAACACTCAATTCGTTCATGAAATTATGACTTGTATTCGTTTATAAAGCAAATGTCTAATTCCAAAACATCGGATATCTGCCATTAACGCTGTTCCAAGTAAGTGAAATTTCACCTCTTTCTTATACTATATCGTGTAGTAATCCTATGAATGATATCTGATTTATTTCCATAACGAATGTTTGGAGTACAAACTAAATAGGAAAAAAGGTTTTTTTGTTTAATTCAATGTCCATATAAAAGTAGTTTCTACAGAAGTATTTTTTCATTTCTGAAAGTAACTTCTTTGCAAGATCTACACATCTTTGTGAAGAGTTTATTTTGAAATCAACTGCTTTTTACCGTTCTTTGGAAGTTCCACACATTTCTGTATGAAGATGGAGAAGTAGAAAACCAAAACCTTTTTTTGGGAAAAATCAATCTCTTGTAAAAATATACCCCTATCAATTTACACAACTTTTTTTTTTGTTTCAGCATCTAATGAGCGAATTAGAGAAACGTGAAATACAATTCAGTGCCGTGTTAGAAAGAGGCGAAAATCTGGTCCTCCAAAACCATCCTGCTACCAAAGCCATTGAAGCCCACATGGCGGCTATGAATGCCCAATGGGCGTGGTTATTACAGCTCACCCACTGCCTCGAGAAGCACCTACAAAATACCCGGATATACCAGCAGTTTTTTAAAGATATACAAACCACAGAAGAATGGCTCAAAGAGTAAGTAAAATTGAAGATACAGTAAATGTAGATCGTTTACATAAGTATATCATCTCATTTGTTTCCTGAATAAATTATTTCTACAGTCAACATATCTTTTCCTTTATATGTATTGTTTCTTTCTTTGTATCCTATAATTTGACTATTTCTTCATCCACTGCATTTCGGTTTCTCTCTGTATAAACACATGAGTCTACCAGGGCAATATTCTTTGCTTCAGGAAAGATGAAATCATGAACACGGAATTCAGTCAAGGTGAGTTCAGCTTGGACGTCGGAGAACGACTCTTGCAAGGCATGCAAGCCCTTCGTGATGAACTCAACATTTTTGGCGATCGAGTTCAAGAACTGACCGCCAGAGCTCAAGATATAGTGCCTTTGAAACAAAGAAGACAACCCGTAACGAGACCCCTTACCGTCACAGCGGTGTGCAATTACAAACAAAACAATGTGAGTTATGAATGGCTATCTATTCTTCTATTTTTCTGGAGTAAAAATGTTTTTTTCTTCTTTGAATCTGATCTTCCCTTCACAAGAAAAGTGTTTTTAAAACTCTAAAGAAGGTTGAAAAATTGTGAATTTTTTATTTCACAACTCGCGTTTTATGAATAGAAGGTAAAATTTTGGATAGGCTGCACCTGTCAAAATAATTACTTATTTTGTCGTGTAAATTACGAATCAAAAAGAAAAAATCGGTGCTCTACCTTAATCCCAGATTTACAGATCTTCAAATTTCCGAAACTTTTCAGCTTCTCTTATGTTCCTCCTGATGAAAATCAAGTAGTTTTCATAAAAGAGCTCTAAAACAACGCATTTTAAACTTATCGTTTCAATCTTTTTCTTTGAAAAATCATTTAAATACTTAAAAAAGAGGAATGAAATAATGCATTCAACATTTAAAGGGATTCGTTTCTATTTCACCATTTGGCAACATCGGTTATAGCTGTTCGTGCTGTTCTGTTTACTTATGTTCCGGGTTCCGAGACATTCTGTGACATATGAAAATTTTGTGCACCTATCCTATCTTCCTCTATATAAATAAATAACAAAACAACTGTTGTTTATGTGGCTTGTGGAGGGGGTATTGAACTATAATAATTTATATTTTGCCTTAATTTGACACTGTTGACATGATTCTTCTTCTTCTAGCATACCACTAACCTGAACTCTAGGCCCTGTTGCCTGTTGTAGTATATGTGAATTAGAAACAAATCCCTTTAAAAATTAAAACCCAACATTTGAAACATCAATTTGATTACTTTTCGAAGTGAATTTGAAAAACTCATGAATTGAACTCAACTTTTATTTTGTTCAAACTTGCATTTGTTGTAATAACCCAAATTGAGGAACATTCCTTATTTCACATGCGTTATACCGTAAATTTATGGTGCAATGTCAAATCTATTTAAGTGATCAATTCATTTTATTATCATAAAAATTAAGTGAAAGAATGGTTAATAACATTGCATGATCTACACATCCATGTATAGAGTTACTTATTTTCAAATTGATTACTTCCTTCCTTTCTTTGGAAGATTCCCTCATTCTTTTTTTGTATCAAGATGAGTAGGAGAAAGCCAAAAACTTTCTTTGCCAAAAATTAATCACTCCTAAAAATATAACCCCTTCACTTCAAATTGAATATTTGACATCTCAAGTAATGAGTATGACAGTTTACGGAGAGTTTGTTTACATGTGAAGTAAGTTGGACCATAAAACAGTGGCGGTTGGTTCAGTTGATAATCGAAGGGATGTATTTATAAAATAAATCATTTCAGGTGAAAATGTATTCTGTTTAAATAGTTCCTACAGAAAATCTGATTCATTATTGATGATTATGGAAATGAGGCCAGTTTTTCTACCACTGGGGTAAAATCAAATTATTTCAAATGAACTAATTCATGACAATGATAAATGTTAATTTCAAAAGTAAGGAACTTTGCTTCATATAATCAGATGAAGAAATTTGTGATTTTTTTTCTCAGGTTCGATGAACAAGCGGTACGGTTTGTGAGGTCTGATATAGAGAATTTGCGATTAGAAATCATGAATAATTATAATTACTACTGAGGTTTGATAGTATTATGTGACTTCATTCAAAATTAGTATCTACGGGTCTTTTAGGANCGTCTCTGTCTACATATTATTATTTTATGTATCTAGCGGTTGACATCCTGATATCTCTTTCAGAGGAAAGCAAAAACCAAACGAGAGTCTTCAACACTCAAATCTCAAATCTGCAGATCGTATTAGAAGAAGCCGAACGTACTATAAATCAACGAGTCCTATCGCCCCTACCCCGCGACATTGACACCCTCCAACACCTTGTTCTGGAACACAAAGAGTTCGAGTCGCGACTCCAAAATCTCGAACCTGAAATCGAACAGGTAAAAGACACCTTCAGATCGATCACGCTGAAAACTCCCCAACACAAAAAAGACCTTGAAAAAGTCCTCGATAAGTGGAAGTACATCTGGAACACGAGCAACATCTACATCGAGCGCTTGAAGTGCATCGAGATCGTTCTGAATGGAATGGAGGAAGCATCACAAGTAATATCCGAGTTTGAGAATAAACTAGCCCTGTTCGATGAACTGCCAAATACAAAGAAGGGGTTGGAAGCTGTGCATGATGATTTACTCAAGCTGGAGTCCGCGGTTGGTCAACAGCAAATAGTCATGGACCAGCTGAACGACGATTTTGATAATACAAGGCGTTTGACTGAGAAATCAAGGCCGAACCAAAGAGGTCCTCACTCTGACGTCGAACGGTTGGACAAGGAGGTTCAGAAGCTCAACAACAGATGGAGTCACGTCTGCACGCAGCTTGCAGATAGGCTTAGAGGATGCAAGCAAGCATACGACCTCCTGAAGAACTACGGGGAAGCCAAACAGATCGAAGATGCTTGGTTGGACGAGCAGTACGGAAAATTGGACAACCTCCAGCCTATCAAAGAGCGAGCCAAGGAGCATTTAGATGTCACGAGAGTGAGTATTTTCAGATAAACGAAGTTAAATAATAATTGACGGAATGGTTTTTTTGCAGAACTTGTTGAACAGTGTCGTAGAGCGGGCCCCGAAAATTGAACAGGTGAACATCAACGGAGGCAGATTTATCAGGGAGGGCAAGGTAAAGATCGATTACGTTGATAGGTATTATCGTCCAGTCACTTTTAGGTTAATTAGGTTATTATTGTATGCCTGAGTGGAGTGAATGGGAATCTTTGTAAATAGTCTTCCAGTCTCTTTTATTCTCTCTAACTATTAAGCCTTCCATTGTTAGATTTAGATATTACAGTTGTAGTAACACTGTTAATGCGGTGATGGACGCTCATCCTTCCTCAGTTCCTAGGTGGTGGCTAGTAGACTACGCATTAACTTTCCAACGTTCACAAATGCATCTTTGGGGTAACTAGTATTTGTCTTTAACAACTTTTTCTTTATCTTTCTCCTCAGCTTCCTCTGTCTTTCAAATCTTTCTATTGTTCTTATGGAAATATTCTACAGCAATAATTTGTAAACAGTTTAGTTCTTAAAATAATATGATGATCACTTTCTCATAAGAAATGGTTATCAAAATTGAGTCGCTTACTGTTTAGAAATTTTGAACCATCCCATTTCGCATTCAGGAGGATTAACTGAAAAATTCGGCTCTTGAAAAAGTTTCTTTAGTTTTTTTTGTCCCGACAGTCGAACTCTTCAGTAAATCTATTGATGAATCATCCTTATGATGATTACTTTGTTCCACAAAATTGCATTTGCATTTCACATCAAATATGTTCATCAAATACTCTTAATATTCACCAAGCTTTGTGGCAATTATTACATATTGATCATTTGGCGCTAATGATGTACCTATTGAACCCTCTCTTCAATCAAAAAATATTTGACAATATCTATATTACATTTTTGGGGATTTTCAGTCAAATCATTTGACAAATTGTGGAAAGGATATTTGAAACAAAATATTTATCTTTTATAAACTCTATGAAATTCTACTCCAAAACCAAAACAACTGTGGAGGGAGGACATGTAACTATAAGAAAAAATTATATTGATCTCTATCAATGTGAAATGTCTAAGCTACTTACTATAGTTTCTACAGTACATT